TCCTTTTTGCACTCATTGTACTTTGGAAAACCCGCCCACGAGATATGTATGTTTGTCATGCAGAAGCTATTCACACAAAAGTCGAATCCTACCAAATTGCCGAAAGTAGTACTTCCCCAGCGTCAGCCTTGAATCTGGTTTAGACTGATAGTAACATACCACCGTCATTGATCGAATCCGTTCGATGGAGGGGTCAACCTCTTCGCTGTTCTGAGCCACGGGATGTGGAGGTTGGTGGTGGGTTTCACCGGATTGGGTTTGAGTTGCGTTGTTGCGTCGCCTCGCCGTGCCCCGCAATCTATCGCACAGATCTTTGTGCGGAAATCTATCCGCGCACCACGGCGAATCAGCAAGTCAAAAGCGGAACATGGTGGTTCGACTTTGCCTCATGACTAGCCTAATTTCCTACGGCTTTGACTACCAAAGGAGAGCAGGTACAGGCCGGTATGAGACTCTCCCTGGGCCATTGTACGGCTGTCATAATCGTATCCCATTGATAGTAGAAGAAGAATACTCGGAGCGCAGTGCGAACCAAGAATCTGGAATACTATACATACAAAAGCTCGACCAAGTTTCAAAAGTCAACAACTTCTGGATGAATATGTAAGGAGCCTGAAATGAACTGACAATGAACGAATAGCGAATGAATGGGACTCGGATTGATATAACAGAGCAAGTTCGAGGAGAGGATGAGGCCCTCCTACATAGACATGCCACGGGTGGTTGGGTAGACCGCACCCTAACCTTCAACACAGCCACTAATTTCGCTGGATCATTTCATTGGCTGGCGACTTAGTTGTTTCAAGATCACCGAATTTCTGATCTCGGTTGATTAAATGAACGTTCCTTATTACACAAGTTCTCATAATCCTCATTCTTATTATATTGTAATGTAAGTACGTAGCCTCGCTTAGCGCTACCACCACTCGTAGATAGTCATCCCCACCACGTACCACCACATCCAGTCATCCTATCCCCACCGTAAAATGTTACAAAAAATCCTAGTTCAACTCAGCCTTCAAGTGACAAGTCCGGAGATGCACGGCATGTGTGCTTGCTCACATGACTAGTATGCCCCCAACACTTCTGAATCAATCAGGACCAATGCAGTCGCAAGCGTGGGGTGGGGGGGCGTCAAGGCATGAGCAAAGACTGCGAGGGGCAGTGTCGGTCCTGGCAACAACCGCTGTCGCATTGGCCTGGAGGGTGAAAACGGCGAAGAAGAGGGATACTGCGGAAAGAAGGTTGCGCAGCTGCATTTCAAGCTGGGTTTAAATTGTAATTGGTTGATGGGCGGGAGTCGAGCTGCTCTTATACAAAATATGACAGCGCTAATTTTGGTAACTTGAACAGGAAACGGACCAGATGGAAATGTTTCGCAAGATGAAACCTGATCTGGCGCCGAGTGAACCATTCCATTAAAGGACCGAGCAACCGACGGAGCAACAGTGTTTTTCTCTCGGTTCCAGCATGAGAGTGAGAAGTGTGAGGGGCAACATCAAAGAGCAACAGCGCAGTGGGGCCAAGATTAAATTGATCTTGACAATCCCAATTCTTGTCATCGGTCAAAAGATCCTCGCAGTCTGTCTACGGTTGGGGAGTCCAGGGAATGCGGGATTTATGTCAGATGCGGTGATCCGCATAGTGATATCGTACAGAGATGCATTTCAAAGCCATGTTTGGGGCTGTGCTTCAACTGTGCTTATCAGAATGCAGATTTGGCGGATCAGGTGAGGTTGACGGCGATTGAGGACGCAGACAGGGAAAGAATGGGGACAATCTCTATAGACCAAAAAAAACCGCACAAATACGATTGAACGCAACCTCGCTGATTTAACACGGCCGAACCGGCACTCTCAAAATGCAGAGATTTGTTGGCCGCGATTATTTATCACAAAAAGCTAACACAGGTGTGACTTGAACTTTTGGGGTTGAATATTGAACGGGAGCCATGATTAATTACTCGTTACCGTCTGGGTCATCCTCGGACAGGCTCCGAGTCTACCGTGACTGAATGTACCATGTAAACTTCTGGACTGGGAAGAAGAAGAAGAAAAAAGTGCCGATGAAGAGAAAAACCAAATTTGCGCAGGTTTGCCTCCGAGGAGTGCGAGATCCTGATAATAATGGCAACAAAATAGCTAGTTACTGGTGTTGTGGGTACGTTCATAAGCAAAATAATAAAATCCCAAAAGGAAAGAGGGAAGGGAAAGGGAAAGAAAAGAGAGGAAGACTTGGCACCTTATGCTCCGAATTTCGGGTGGAGATCAGAATGTGTCTATATCAACATATAAGGATACAGGTCAACCCGGTGGGTTCCCGGGTAGGGTCCTCAGGGTATGGGTCCCGGGTTGAGCAGATTGTCAACCCGATTTCTGAGGAGGTGTAATATAAGCAGTCAGTATCTCGAATATGACTGACCAGAAAGAAAGAAAAAAAAGAAGAAGAGAGACTCCGATATGCCCTGGGGAGGATTCGAACTCCCGTCTCTCACATTAATCTGCTCTACGGTTTTCCTAAAGGGTGTGGGTGATTTCCATTAATCAACCAGGGCTTCATACCTTTTCAAATGGACTTGGACATACCTGCACATTTCTTCAAGGTTACCTGCCCGAATATAAAACTTTTACATCCGCAGACTGCAAGCGAACACAGTTGACAGCAAGAGCGATAATAAATAAATTTACTGGGAATCTATCGATTCAAGTATATGAGCACATAAATATCCCGAATCTAAACCAAACGGAAAAAAATTGACCAACTCATAATTTATGCCCTAGGGAGGATTCGAACCTCCGTCAATCGACACAGCTCTTTTCCATAAGGGCGGTGATTTCCATTAATCAACCAGGTCTTTCATACCCTTCTATGTAAGAACCTGGATATACCTGCACGCTTTTCAAATTGAGCCCCGAAACGAAAGGTTATAAATCCAGCGGAGACGCATTTATGAATGCTCCCAATGTCCACCTGCTCAGCAATTTGAGTGTTCGAGAATGATTCACAAATTGAGTAGTCTGAATAGAACTCGGGATCTCGAGCCTACATTTGACAAAAAAGGCTAGAAAGCCACGATATGCCCTGAAAAGGATTCGAACCTCCGTCTCCCACATCAATCGGCTCAGCTCTTGTGCACAAGGGCGGTGGGTGATTTGCCATTAACCAACCAGGGCTTTACCTGGGCTTTACACCCTTCCAACGAACTAGGATACACCTGCACATTTTCAAAGCCCGAAAAGAACCTTCAAATGCCCGCCTGTTCAGTAAGGTTCGTTGAAAGCAATAACGAATTCAACAAGATTGTAATTTGTCTCCAAACGCATGAATACAAATGTGCAGCAGGTTCTGTGAATGTCAATCTTTTCTTTTTAAAACAAAAAGCCTGATCCCACACAATGCCCCGGGGGGGATTCGAACCTCCGTCTCCCACATCATTCTCTTGCAAACAGTTCATGGGTTGGGGGCGATTTACCATTAATCAACCAGGGCTTTATATCCCTTCAGATGAGCCCGAATATACCTGCACATTAATATTTTCCAATTGCTTAATAGAAGGCTGTTCTACCGAATAAACCCAAACTACATCCCGATATACACGTGTTTGACCCCACGAATTATCTCAGCGAGCGTAAATGCAGCAGCAGTGAAGACAATCCCGAATCTAAATCGATCCACCGGCCAAAAAAAAAAAACGAACACCCAGATATGTCAGTGCCCCGGGGAGGATTCGAACCTCTGTCTCCTACACAAATCCGCTCCAACAAAATCTTTAAGGGGTGTGGGTGACTTGCCATTAATCGAATAAGGCTTTACACCATTCCAACGAACCTGTATGCACCGGCACCTATTTTTCGACTGCCAGAAGGCTGTTTCACTGCATGACTTCCCGAAAATTCCACGGTACTGCTGCCTGTACAGATGAAAGCAGTAGGGGTATATCCGTGTCGAAGCCAAATCAAACAGTGTAAAGAAATCCCCTTACCTGCGCCCATGCCCTGGGGAGGATTCGAATCTCCATCTCCCACATCAATCGGCTCAAGAAACGTTTCAAGGGGTGTGGGTGATCTCCATTAATCAACCAGGGCTTTATACCCTTCCAACGAACCCGGATATACCAGCACATTTTCCAACCCGTTCCACAGAATCACTACGTTCCCTACCTTTCTAGGCATGGCCTATAGCTAGCCGATTAAACATATCTAGGCAGAGCACTATGGCTAGTCCGCCTAGACAGAGTCTTTTTAGGTATGCGGAGGTGTGTCTGGCTATATGTATGTCTTCTTATGTCCTTTTAGTCGAGTGTACATCTGTGTAACTATTTCTAGCCGCCTACGCAGAGCTGAAAATAGCTTATAGGTGTCATTGAAATCCGGGTTATAGTACGGCTATGACCGCGAGTTGCGTGGAGCGCCGCCCCGAAATATCGCAAGAGAGTAAAGAGTGAGCGTCAAGTGAAAAGAGCGACGCTAAGATGACCCTGCACCAGCCAAAGCCGTCTGCGGCGTGGCTCATAACAAATCTTGAGCTTAAACCTGATTGTCTAAAAATACTCAGTCGACGTCAATTAAGCTGATTTCAACCAGTTTATTGCTTTCCAACTTGGGGGGGCCATACAGTCTGTGCCTGGAGGGACTACATCAACCTAGGATCAGGTATGTTGAGCCACGCTCATCTACACAGAGGTCTGCCTAGACGGCTAGGCAGGGACTAGCTTAAGCTTCACTCACATACCCAAAATTGTGCGTAGTTGGCCTAGCCAGGGTCTGCCTAGCCGCCTACGCAGACCTACCTGAAGCTTCACTCAGATAGCTAATCTCTGCCTAGGAGGTAGTGGAACGTAGTGAATGAATTCCTTCAATCCTCGGTATGTACAAGTGCCTGAACGCGACAGTAAATCGGTGCCGATCTGTTTACATAGCGCACCCAGATGAAAGCAGAGCAGTACTGGTATCTCGAGCCTACATCAAACAGAAAAAAAAAAGATTTGCAATCCTTTATCATGCCCCAGGGAGGATTCGAACCTCGGTCTCTCACATCAATCTGCTCGACAGTTTTCTAGTCAAGAGGTGTGGGCGATTTACCATTAATCAACCAGGGTTTCATACCCTTTCAAATGGACTTGGACATACCGGCACATTTTTTCAAAGTTACCTGCCTTTACATCCGCAGACTGCAAGCGACAATAATAAATTCACTGGGAATCTATCGGTTCAAGTATATGAGCACATAAATATCCCGAATCTAAACCAAAGCGGAAAAAAAATCCTGCTCACTGTGCACAATGCCTCAGGGAGGATTCGAACCTCCGTCTCCCACATCAATCCACCCAAGAGAAGTTTAAAGGGGTGTGGGTGATTTACCATTAATCAACCAGGGCTTTATACTCTTCCAATGAACCTGGATAGACCTGCACATTCTTTACAGCCCGAAAAGAATCCACCGACTGATGTTCTCGAAAGTCCGCCTGTTCAGTACTTAGGGCTCGTTGAAAGCAATAACAAATTCAACAAGATTGTAATTTGTCCCCAAGCGCATAATACAGACGTGCAGCGGGTCTTTGAATCTCAATCATTTAAAAAAAAAAAAGAATTGACCGACTACATGGAATTCCCTGGGGAGGATTTGAACCTCCGTCTCCCACATTAATAATGCTCAATTAACACCTCCCATGGTCTGTGGGTGATTTCTATTAATCAACCAGGGCTTTATACCCCTCAAATGGAACCGGATATACCTAGGCATTTTTTGGGCACCCGATAGACACGTTTTGCATTCGCAGGTTTTGCATTCGCAGACTGGAAGCGAGCAGGTTGCTACTGCATAGCATAGTCAAAGGGCTTTCTGGAAGGAACGAACTTCAGCAAGATTTTCGTCCGCCCAAAAGCATAATGCAGATATATACATACATGCAGTAGAATCAATCAAGCTTTGTAAAAAGAGAGATTGATCGATGCATGCCAAAAGTCCAGCTCATTTGGATGTGATTTGGGCCTGCCAGCCCATATTCTCACCTGAAACTCTGATTTTCACAAGACACCCCAAAATATAATATACCATTCCAACGAACCTGTATACGCCTGCACATTTTCAAAGTCCGAAAAAACCTTCAAATGCCCGCCTGTTCAGTACTGAGTAAAGTTCGTTGAAAACAATAAGGAGCTCAACAAGATTGTAATCTGTCCCTAAGGATTCGAACCTCAATCGAACCTCTATCTCCCGCTTATACGTAGATTGCTGGAGATCGAACGAGCAGTGGGTGATTTGCCATTAACCAACCAGGGTTTACACCATTCGAAGGAGCCTTGGATAGTCCTGCACATTGTTCATGGGAGCCTGCAACAAACGGTGGAATTTATCCTGAATTTTGCTACAAGGGGAGTCCGCCTGATCAGCCAAAGGGTTTTCGATTCAAGGACTGTCCAGGTGCATAATACAAGCAGAGATGTGCAGCAGGATCATGAATATCAATGGGACTTTGTAAAAAAAAAAGACTTTTGGCCCACATACATGCCCTTGGAAGGATTCGAACCTCCATCTCCCACGTCATTCCGCTCGAGCAACCACTTCATGGGCTGTGGGCGATTTCCATTAATCAACCAGGGCGTTATACCCTTCCAACGAGCCTGGATATACCAATGGCACATTTTTGCAAAACCCGAAAAGAAAAGTTTGACATAAATCCATTTGACACCGCGCAGGTTGTTACAACGGTCCGCCTGCTGAGGTTCGTTGAAATCACCGAAATTCAAGGACTCTCCAAGTACAAGGGTCTGCCTGATCAGCAAAAGGTTTTTCAATTCAAAGACTGTCCAACAGAGATGTGCAGCAGGATTCTGAATATCAATGGGACCTTGGAAAAAGAAGGAAAGCTACATATTCCCCCATGCCCTGAGGAGAATTCGAATCTCTAACTCCCACATCAATCCGCTCACTTACGTTACAGGGGGTGTGGGCGATTTCCATTAATCAACCAAACCCTTCCAACGAACTAGGCACACCTGCATATTCATTGTTCAAGAAAGCCTGCAAAAGTTTGCTACATCCGGTGGATTTAATGCTGAATTTTTTTACAAGGGTCCACCTGATCAGCGAGAAAGGACTGTCCAAGTGCATAATACAGACATAGATGTGCAGCAGGATCGTAAATACCAATAGGACTTTGTAAAAAAAATGGCTTCCGCTCCCATGCCCCGGGGAGGATTTGAACCTCCGTCTCCCACATCATACCAGCAAATCTCCAAAGTCCGAAAAGAACCTTCAAATGCTCGCCTGTTCAGTAAAGTTTGTTGAAAGCAATAACGAATTCAGCAAGATTGTAATCTGTCCCTAAGCGCATAATACAGACGTGCAGCAGGTTCTTTGAATCTCAATCATTTTATAAAAACCAAAAAAGGATTGGACCATTACGAGTAATGTCCTGGGGAGGACTCGAACCTCCGTCTCCCTCGTCAATGCAAGTGGAGGATGGTGGGTGATTTCCATTAATCAACCAAGGCTTTATACCCTTCCAACGAACCAGGATATACCTGCACACTTTTCAAATTGGGCCCCCGAAACGAGAGTCTATAAATCTGGCGGAGGCGCACTTATGAATGCTCTCAATGTCCACCGGCTCAGAAATTTAAGTGTTTGAGAGTGATTCACAAATCGAGGAGTCTGAATAGAACTCGGCAGCTCGAGCCTACATCAAACAAAAAAACGTTAGACAGCCTCGGTATACCCTGAAGAGGGTTCGAACTTCCATCTCTCATCAGTCGCCTCTGCTCTTTTCCATAAGGGCGGTAGGTGATTCCCATTAATCAACATGGGCTTTACACCCTTCCAAGGAGCCTGGATAGATCTTTGCACATCCTTTCAAGGGAGCCTGCAACGCATGGTGGAATTGATCCTGAATTTTGCTACAAGATCAACAAAAGGATTTTCAATTCAAGGACTGTCCAAGTGCATATATAATACAGACAGAGATGTGCAGCAAGATCGTGAATACCGATGGGACTTTGTAAAAAGAATGTCCGTTGAGTGGCGTATGTATGCCCTGGGGAGGATTCAAAAAACTCGGATATGGCCTGGGGAGGATTCCAATCTCTATCTCACACGTCAATTGCTTAACGAAACCCGGGATCGTCTAAGGAGTGTGGGTGAGTTCCATTAATCGACCGGGGCTTTATACCTTTCCAACGAACAAGAATATACCAGCACATTTTCCACGGCATGAATTCCTTCAATAAACGGTACGAGTGCGTAAACACTGCAGTAAATCAGCTGACCCGCTGTTCTTCTGCTATATAGCCCCAAGATTGTGCTCGAGTTTATCAAGAGCCTATCATTCTTTGTACCAAATTGTTGTATGGTATCCTCGCTTTCGTATTTGCGGTTGTTCATTAATGGGACCGCGCCGGTACCTACCTGTCGACAGTTTCCAATTTATTAAGGATGCAACTGAGCGTTCTGCTTGACAACAATGCTCATATGGACCACTCCCCGTCGTGTCGATTTCGCACTGCGCGTTCTTTCCTCTTGCAGTGGCATTCAGAAGCTCATGCTGTTCGGGCCCTATCCCATAATGCTCCCTGCACTCGAGAAGATGCAACTACGGCAGTTGACCGTCGACCTTCAAGGACTTTTTGGTATTCCGGCGATCGACCCAGCCCGTCCCCTCTTCGGAGCACTCACTCATCTTCGCCTCCTCAATAGCCCTCCAGAACTAAATTTCGGCGAACTCCCTGCCCTCATACATCTTTGTCTATCCGCTCACTCTACCATCGGCCTCATCTCTTCCACTCTGGCAAATTGCAGCAGACTCCGCATGCTGGTCACCATGTTCAAGGGTCTGCGATACTGCAAAACACGCTTGCCGATCGATGACCCGCGCTTCGTTGGGATGTCACTTTCCTTGGAGGAGTCTATGGAGGATTGGAAGTTCGGAGCGAAGGGGGGAAGGGACTTTTGGTTCCACGCAGAGAAGTTTGTTGCGAGCAGGCGACGCGGCGAAATCGAACCTGGCATGTCTTGCCGCACCCGCCGAAACACCCCGCTTACTGTCCTTGCCTCCCTTTTAGCCTGGCGGTGCTGGATTGAAGACTCTGACTTGATCAACTGAGCTCACTCAGTTCCTTTTTTGCACTCATTGTACTTTGGGGAACCCGTCCACGAAAAGATATGTATGTTCGTCATGCAGAAGCTATTCACGCAAATGTCGAATCCTACCAAATGGCCGAAAGTAGTACTTCCCCAGCGTCAGCCTTGAATCTGATTTAGACTGATAGTAACATACCACCGTCATGGATCGAATCCGTTTGAAGGAGAGGTCAACCTCTTCGCTGTTCTGAGCTACGGGATGTGGAAGTTGGTGGTGGGTTTCACTGAACTGGGTTCGAGTTGCGTTGTTGCGTCGCCTTCGCTGTACCCCGCAATCTATCGCACAGATCTTTGTGTGTAAATCTATCCGCGCGCACGACGAATCAGCAAGTCAGAAGCGGAACATGGTGCCACCTTCGACCTTGCCTCACGACGGGAATAATTTCACTCCAGCTCTGACTATGAAAGGAGAGCAGGTACAGGCCGGTAATCACACTCCCCTTGGACTATATAATCGTATCCCATTGAGGCCACAGGAGCGCAGTGTGGACCAAGAATCTGTAATACTATACATACAGTAGCTCGGCCAAGTTCAAAGTCAACAACAACTTCTGGATGAATATATAAGGAGCCAGAAATGAACTGACAATGGACGAATAGTGGATGAATTGGACTCTGATTGATATACTGGGAAAAGATTGAGGGAAGGGAAACAGAGGGTGAGTACTTCCCACCTAGGTGCGTTCCAAAAAAGCCACCGCCCCAGGCAGTGTGAACTTCAACTTTTGGGGTTGAATATTGAATGGGAGAGATAATTAATTACTCACTACCGTCTGGGTCGTCCTCGGACGACACAGGCTCTGAGTCTACCGTGATTGAATGCGCAATGTAAACTTCTGGGCTGGGAAGAAAGAAAGAAAAGTGCCAGTGAAGGGAAAACCAAATTGCCGCACGTTTGCCTCCGAGGAGAATGAGAGATACTTCTTAGAAAGATGGTAATGACGAAAAAATGAACCAACGCATGTTGATTTTTATTATTAAAATAAGTAAATGAAAACTGATTAAGTTTGTTGTAAAAAATAGACAGGTCGCGCAATCATATTGGATCCTTCACTGGCCACCGACAGTGCCTTCGGCTCCACAATCCCATACCAATTCCGAACACCGACAGACCCCCACGTCTCGCTCCGCATCCCCCGAAGAAGCGAGGCGCGGACCACACACAAACGGCACCAACGCAGCACGGTACATATAGCAGGCGCCCAACCCAGACAGAACAGACCCCGCAGGCCTCGAGCG